ATTGCTGCATAATTTTTTGCCTTGCTAGTTCCCAGGGCAGCTATAAAGATGGCAATGGCCCGCTATTAGTCAGTCCACCCACACTGAAATACCTAACAATTACCGGATGAATCACCAAAAATCTTGTACAGATATTCCTGGTCCCCAGAAGATGAACTGACTGATTTTGAGCATCCCATGAGTTTTTCTTTAGCACCACCAGAAGCACGTTTTCACATCAGGTCAACATTTTAATGTGTCTAATACTTTGGTCTATGACCAGTTAGCTGCAAAACTAAGGACATTACTCACCACTGCAAATGTTATCATGCCAGACTAACATGGTAGTGACCATGGTAAATATTACCTGAAAAACCCTAGCATTTTAAGTGTGAGCCTGTTAGCATGCTAACCAGTTCAAAGCACTATCTGTGCCTAAGTACTGTTACCATGGCTGCAGACTCGTATTTTCCATGACTTCTACATCTTCTGAAATGAAATGGTATATCGCCTCCCTAATGCCTGTGGGCATTAAAAAACCAGGTTGTGCTAGTGTAAATTGGGTACATAACTCCATTTAGCACAGTGCAGGCTTATCACAGCTCCGATCCTTTCATTTGTCCAGAAAGAACAATGTGTTCTCAGAGAGAAAAAAAAAAACTACATTCATAATCAACACTGTGTGCACCTTCACTCAACTTTGCTGCACTGATGAGGTAAAACTAACAAAAGTTATCTTCAGTAATTACACCATGGATTTCTACCCTGTACAATAAACACCACTGCTCCAAAACAGTCTCATTTAACATCAAATGTCATGACTGGTGACTCCCAAATCTTTCCAGGCGTATATCTGTTTCTCTGTAGACTTACCGCAGTGTGTTGGCAAATAGTTTCCTTTCATGACAATACCCTGTGCAGTAGGTGCAAAGCCACAGTACTGTAGCTGCATATCTTGACAATGAAACAATGTGTGATTTCATAAATATTAAAAAGTGTTGCTTGTGGCTGTCCGGTTAGGTTTCGTAACACTGACACCAAACATTAGAGAACTGCAACGGATAAAATCTTGATGAAATGAAACTTAAGCACATTATTCAGATATGTCCTGAGGGCAAACTAGCACTTGGTAAAGTTCTCTTACCAATTGTGCGACCTAAATATGATCTCATCTGCCATTTGGGTGTGGTGACTCTTCACCTATTGAAGTAAAATCCTAGTAAATATCCATAAAATGTTGTGATAAATCAGTATTTGTGCAATTGTTTACTATCCAAGTAGCTGAATCCTCAACTATAGAAATTCTCAGTGTTATTCACATGCTGTATATAACACATGAGCAAAGTGTGTGCTTTTTGTGCTGTGTACATGCTTGTTAGTCATTTTCAGCCTGGCCTTTAATTTTCAGATAGGTTATAATTAAAACAACACAGGCCATGCCCTATTTCAGAAACATACATGGAACTTGACCTCATCCTCACTCCACAAACAATCAAGACGTTCTTTTCACATAATCTAAATAATGCGAGTCACATCTCCCTCAGGTGAAACTATGTATAAACGTTGTTGATTTCTTCCCGCCATGAGTGAAAGAGAAACTCTATGAGATGTCAGTTATCTCAAACCTGTTCTCCCGTGCATGTTGTTATTGTGTCATCATCACAACACAAGACATCTTGTGTCCCATGAACACAAACAAAACTACAGTACAATTTGTTGGACATCTTTAATAGCAATATCATTTTGCAATTAACTGAAAGAAGGTAGATGCTTCGGCCTTGGTGCTGTGTTCTAAAAAAACAGCAACTACATGTCCTATCATCTCCAAAGCTCCTGTGTTTTTCACTGCACTTTGCAGTGTGTACACTTGTACATGGGAGGAATAAATCCAAATAAGGATGGTGTAAGTGTGCCCTGCACCTCCATGGTGGATTTTTCACTTCCCTAAAAGAATAATGTGCTTTAAGTTCTTTTATTCCTAACTTTTTTTTACTTTCTTCTACTGTTTGCCACCCAAAAACTGAAAACCTGAGCTCTACTTTCCCTTAAAACACACTTTCTTCCTGATTTATCCTATAATGCAATCTCCCCCTGAGACTTAAATACAACCTATCCTACAAAAATTATCTTGTGATGAACCAATAAAAAGCTGCCAATCTTTCATACAACTGTGCCAAAACTGATGCAGCAAAAATACAATATAGCAACACATTCTCCTTCACTGAAGTGCCTACAACAAAATATCCAACAAAGGAAATGCCACATATGACCATGAACCTGGCTTGCAAGCCAAATGCACTCACACACACAAAGGGTTCCCTATTTCTGTGGTCCTTCAAGAAATATCTTTGTAAAACTCAGGAATGTGAGGAATCTCCGAGGGAGTGTTTAGCGAGAACAGGTGACCTTCTGAGTGGAGGACTGTATGACTTAGTCTTCCTATCACCTTGCTTTAAAACAACCAACCTTTCTTAAAGCCCATAATGAAGGTAAGACAGGATCTGAGAGACCAGGGTTGCATAAGAGCGGCCTGTTGTCTAGTTTTACACAGGGACCTGAGTCAACTGACAGAGTAGATCTCTGTCAGAGAGGTACACAGAGAACCATATTAACAACATAGGGAATTAGCAAATGGGAATTAACATGTAAAGACAGATAACCAGATAATCTTTTGGCTCAGGATGAAACACTGGCAGTTTTATCAAAGAAGACAAGATGAGTTAAGGGGTTTGTCACACTGAAAAGTCCAGGAGGCTGGAGTTTGTCGATCCAATTCCTGCTACTGTGCAGTTCTCGCTCTGGTCAAACTCCATGGGTCTTGTTTTAAAAAAAAAACAAACATTCCTGAGAACAAAAGGTAAATAGGGACAGGGAATCCAGATCAACCGGCACTGTCATCCTTCAGTGAAGTGTAAAGCAAACACATTGGGAGATTCAGTTCTCTGAAGTGTTCAGAGAAGATTCTTTTGTTTGATATATTATCTGACTAAAGATGTACAATACTGCATGTATATAAGTAAACAGGGTTTTGAAAAACAAAGGGTGGCCCAATGAAAAAGGTTCATTCTCTTTTACATGAACACCCTGTGTTGCTTTCTAGGGAAAAATCTATTGTAAAGAACAATTTTAAAAGCTGTTATAATGTATGTTTTCCATTTAGTCCTGCATTTCTATATAGATGAAAACCAGAAATAAACCAATGAACAGTGTAATGGAGAAGAGTTGTGTGACATGTTTAATTTTTTGATGGACTTGACCTGAAGCTCACTCTGATCTGCCCCTTACTCTCAAAGTCAGACACTTTCACAGCCCTACATGGTAGCCTCATACGTACTCCCACTTCATGTGATCCCCGTGTGGTCCCGGTGACTCAGTGTGATGAGGAACAGTGTGTCTGAAAAACAGAACCCCTTGTTCCTCCCTCACTGTAATGGTCCTGGCATTGCTTTTAATTAACTGGCACTATGGCTACAATACTGGGCATTTAGTGGGCAGGAGGCCCCTCTGGCATCAGTGCAGATCATCATCAGGGCCCCACTTGGAAGGATTCAATTTTCTGGGCAACTGTGTCTTGCTTCCACACTGAACCTCCTTTAGAATCATTTTAGGAACCAATTAACTCTTTCTCTAACAACATGCCTGGCTCTTAAATCATTGTGAACAGACTATACTTCCAGTGTGATATACATCCTTAAGATGAAATCCCGCTGCATTAAGGCACTTGATATACCATTTAAAAAATAGTAACTGTGGCTGCCAGCAAGCCAACATTTAAAAAATTGTAAACAAGTAAATTCACCTTTACATTCTTTCTAGTTGAGTGCACGTGTGAAGAATTGAAGAAAAAGATTCATGGCCTCTGTCCGAAAATAGCCTGTAGCCGACCTTGGCAGAGGAGAAATACCTTATCTCTCTTCAGTTGACCTTCTCTTATAAAACCCTTAACTTCACACTGCTGTTATGTAAATGCTGTCCACATATGCATGGTTTAGTCAGTGCTGACACATGTCTGTGCATTCAACACCTACCAAAGTCATAGATGTGACAGAAAACATGTTTATACGTATTCATCTTCTGTTGTGGGTATAGTGTGACTATGGGATTAAATGAGTTTGAATATGAGGAAATCCCCTGATACACTTCCCACTGAACTAAGAGAAGACACACTAAAAGAAACAGGCGACGCCTCCTCTTTCTCTAAAGCAAATTAGCCAAGGTTGCACAAACACCGCCAGACAAACACACATAAGACAGCCCTAACCAGACACTGTTGGTACTTTGTGTTTTTGCAGTTCAGGAGAACAAGGATGTGCTTGTTTGTCTGATGGTTTCGTTTTTGAAGCTGTGATTAATGAGGCTATAAAACAAACGCTAATACTACAGCTCACACTACATTAAACTTGGGGGGAAAAAACTGTTCACAAAGAGAAAGCATGACCGGTGACTGACATACGAGTGCACATGTGCAAGCTCCAACAAGATCGGCCAAGCACAGCTTTGGGAAAAGTCAGAGTGTTGCTGCAGTTTTCTTGGGAGTGTGTGAATATGTCCTTACGTGTTCACTTTGTGCGTGAGAGTGCGCTTTACTTAAGTTTTTGACTTGGTGGGTGTTTAAGCTGTGCGAAGTAAACCATCTACTGTAAATCATGCATGGCCCATGGCCCATGTGGAAGGCAGCTAGAGAGCGGCCCTTCACTTCCCATGTATCCTGAAGACCAGGTAAGTAAGTGGAGGCATCACAGAAGAGGACAAACAGATTTCTGAATAGCAAACAAAACAAGCTGAAGGTCAGCAGGCAGGTAAGAAGTCAGTCTGTTCAAACATCTCTACAGTGAACAAACACAATGCCTGGAAGGCAAGGAGCAAAATGTTCAACCATTTCCCAGCAACTTATCCCTAATCATCTAAGATTGCTATTTAATCTCTTTATTAATATAGTGTACTGTTAAGCTATGACACATGAGTTACTGAAAAACGTCTTGAGTTTTAATAATAATATCCACCTGACTGTGGGCTCTTACCATGGCTGTTTCCATGTTGATGCGCCTGCTTTCCTGACTTCTGTCCTCCCTTGTGTGCACTCTGAAGCCCAGCAGGGTGCCCATCCAAGGCCAAGTCAAGCGCAGGACCTAGACCCAGGCTCTTTCCAGTAGCACCAACATCCTTCTTCTTCTTTCCCTTCAGCCAGCCCAGAGCTCGGCCCAGGGAGTTACTGCGCTTCTTCAGGCCCCTTTTGCTGTGCTTCTCTTGGGCAAAAATCTCAACCACATCCTGGGGAAGCAGGTCCCCAAACCCCAGCGAATCCCGGTTTGACATAGCACCTCACACTGGAGCTATGCC